TCTGTTCCCTTAGAAGGTCTTGTCTGAAGTATAAATCTTGAATATCTGAGATGTCTGAAATATAGATCTTGAAGGTCCAGAATCAAAGTGATGTCATGGCTTTGCTGGCGTGTGTGGACTTTCTAGGAAATGGGCTGGTATAGTCCAACAGGCAGTTACAGCTAGCAAACTTGACTGGAAAACGTAGAACTTTGTCCTCGTTTCTCGTCCAAGGAATATAAATTAACAAAAGTTCTCGATCATGTTTCTAGAATGCCCCCCAATATTTATTAGTCACACAGTTTTTTCCAGTAAAAACCAAAGGAAAAGTCATGGGCCTTTGCTTGAAGAGCAAAGAATCTGGCCAAATTGGATCAAATTAGCCGGCCTGATTTGATAGATTCTGGTCGTTTTTCAGAAGAAGGTATGATCAATTATTATATTACATCTTTCCAATATTAATTGAGAAAGTCCCAATCAAACAAATGTAAATCTTAGCAATTGATTATGATTTAAAATTAATTATAATACAAAATTAATATTTGAATTTGATTCAATTTGATTTTTCAGTTAAAATGGAATAGTGTTAATTAACCTAGCTTTCATCAAGAGGATTAAGATATAAATTATAAAATAACGGTTTGTCAATGATTGACGGAATAATTGAATAATCAACTAATTTAATTAATAGAAGTTTATGCTAATTATTGAATATATGAAACTAAATTATTACAAAATAAGAAAATTCTTTAAATTGTCTTTATATCTTTAATTAAGTCACTTTTATTTTTGAATATAGGTTAATTAAGTTTTCCAATATTTTTTTTAATCAAAATTTTCATGTCAAATTACTGAAATTATTTACCTAATATGCACATTATTAATTTTTATTCACAAAATACCTTCATATGCCAGTTAAATAGAAAACTTTTATGTACAAATTGTGTAATTAATTTTGATAATTTAACATTACGACAAAGATAAATTAAACTCTTAAAGTATATTCAAAAAATAAAATTAATTTAGTTAAAAATAAAAAACAAATTAAAAAATTATTCTATTAGATAAAGATAAAATTGAACCAATATCCTTACAAAAATATTAGTTTCTATGGTTTCATGGCACATGTATATAATCTCCATCAATCATCCTATCTTTAATCACACAGTTTTTTCAGAACCTTCTAATAAATATTAAAAACGTTAAATTTTCTCGTCCATGGAATATGAATTATAAAAAGTTCTCGATCATGTTTCTAGAGAGGGCCCCCAATATTCATTAGTCACACTTTTTTTCAGTACTTTTTCTAGAAAAAAAGGAAAAGTCATAGGCCTTTTCTTGAAGAGTCTGGCCGAATTGATCAAATTAGCCGGCCTAATTTCGTAGATTCTGGTCATTTTTCAGAAGAAGATATGGTCAATTATTATATTACATCTTTCCAATATTAATAAGTCCCAATCAAACAAATGTAAGACTTTAGCAATTGATTATATATATATATTCAATTAATTAATATACGTATATGATTATAATACATATATATTTAAAATATATCTTATTAATTAAACTACATATAATTAATGATGATATTACAAAGAGCTCTAAAACAGGTGATTTTTTTGCTGTTGTTATACTGTTCACATACTCACAATACACTAGTCATTGAGTAGTATTTTTATAATTTAAGTTAGTGGTTTTTTCGTTATTTTAATTGCTTTCTTAGACATTTAATACACCCACAATACTGTTCACTATCGCAATATTGCTCTTTCTTTAAACATTAAAATTGTGATTTAAAATTGATTGTATTACATCTTTCCGATATTAAATAAGTCCCAAATGTAAGTCTTTAGCAATTGATTATGATATATATATATATATATATATATATATATATATATATATATATATATATATATATATATATTTAAAATATATCTTATTAATTAAATTACATATAATTAATGTATTACAAAGAGCTCTAAAACAGGTGATGTTTTCCTATTGTTATGTTGTTCACACACTCACAATACATTATTCATTTAGTGGCATTTTTATAGTTTAAGTTAGTGGCTTTTTCGTTATTTTAATTGCTTTCTTAGACATTCAATACGCCCACAATGTTCACTATCGCAATATTGATGCAATAATTTAAACATCAAAATTGTGTTTGAAAAAACTGAGACAGACATGATTTGTTAGTGTGTGAAACCCATATTTGCGAGGATAACTACATAGAAGTGATTGAATTCACTTTCACTGCTAATGTATCACCAATATCATAGTTGCGAGGATAACTATCAGTAGGGTAAAACCCATATTGAAATTGAAAAATCAAAATAAAGGGTCAAGACCCAGATCTTAAAATGAGCAAAAAAGTCTATTTTTTTAGAATTTTGAAACGATTTCAATCAGATCTAAGAGACCCATATCTTGAAAACAAGTGATTTAAGCCTTAAAGGTCTGGTCTTTGCTGGTTTTTTCCAGTAAAAGTTAAGATCTTGATAATAAAAAAGAAACAAAACATAAAGAAGTTCTTGCTATACATAGAGGTAAAAAAGAGAGAATGATAACTTGACCTTGGAGAAATAGTGATACAAAAAAGATAAAGAGTCTGCAATATAGAAGAATTGTCCAGCAAGTAGAGATCTTTGAGATTTTGGAAAAATGGGATTTTTGAGAAACAGAAAAAGGCTGAGGATTGGAAGGCAGAACAGAGTCTATAGTATTGGTTTTGTTTTCCTGGAGACTTGGAGTGCCGACGAGCCTTTTGTCTTTCATGGCCGATAATATTAGCCATTTGTTTTCTATAAAAAAGGTTAATTTTTAACCATTGTTTAAATAAATACTTAACATCTAATGGGTTTTTTATTGTGAGGGTAGTACTTTTCTCATAAATTTGTTTTCTATTTTAGCTTTTCTTTTTCTTTTTAATAATTTTGATCATGATTTTATAAAAATAATACGGTGTCTCTCTTTTTTTCTTTTTTCTTTTCCTTTTGTCTTATAAAGAATCTTGCCATCCACAATTTAATTGCTCTGTGCTTACACCGTTAAGATATTTACAAAACATATTCATTGGATAGTATTTTTGCTATTTAAATCAGTGATATTTTGATTATTTTTAGTGTTTTTATGCAATTAATATACCCACAACACTGTTTACATCCCTTAATGTAAGTGGTATTTTTTGTAATTTTGAAGTTTTTAAAAACATTTTAATGAATTTTTAGAATATTATTATTTGTTCTTAAAATAAATTAATATAATTTATACGATAAATTCTTTTAATTTTTAAATTATAATAGGCGCGCACGCACATACACACACACGTATATATATATCATTTAAAAAAATAATTTACGACATAATTAAAAGCATTTTCAGATAATTTGTCTTAGATTTTTTAGAAAAAAAATATAAGAAAAATTTTTAGTTAAGAATACAATTATAAATTTTTAGTTAAAAATCAGGTTATAAAAGAATAATTCATATTTTTTCAATAGAAAATTTATGAAAACATAATGAATAATTAATTAAACACTTGATTTAAAAAACATTAATGGTCTTTTTTACCTTCGATTGATATATTTTTTTTGGACTTATAGTATAACAAAGACTATTAAATTATAATTATTTTTTAAAATAATTCTACAAATTATGTCTAATCCGTAGCGTAGCACGGGTAAATATCTAATATGTATCTAATTGATTATGATAGGAGTAATTAGTAATTAATATGTCTTGATAGAAAATTTAGGTTAAGACTATAGAAAAAAAAAACTATATCCATTATTAAGAAAGAGATTAAGATAGAAAATTCATTTTTCTGCTCTTAGTATTGATTCAAAAGTACAAACATGAATCAAAATATATATAATTTTTAAAATAATTATATAAAACATATGAAATTATAAGATTTATGAGTATGATGAATTTACGACTTGTTGCTTTCTATAATTACAATTTATTATTTCAAATAACATTTGATCGAGTAATTGAATTATAATTTTATTATTTCATGACATTTGATCAAGTGATTGAATTCATTCTGTTTTGTACTATTTCAAGTAATCAAACTCAAAATCAAACCAAATAATATATATTTTTTTTTTGAGTTAAAAACAAAATTTCAATTTCAATTTTGGTTTTGGTTTTTTTTTTTTTTTTATTGAAACCATTTTTTTTTTAATCTGATTTTTTTTTCATTTTTTTAACTCTGTAGTTTTTTTTGGGCCGCAAACTATGGGCTTGTAGCTCTATAAATAAAAGGACCTTGATTCCCAAAAGTCCAATTACATTTCTAAACTTATTTTTTAAGAGCATGTTATCATTTTAGATTTATTAACATTCATGATAGAAAAAAATATTTAGCATCCATAATAAAAATACATCAAGCATTAAAATCTATAAAAATAACGATTAACGTGCAAGTATTGACTTGACATTCCCTATATAAAAAAAAAAAAAACAGTCATTAAATCAAATAGTTTATCAAAATATTCAAGTTTGAAAATTAATTTAACAAACAAATTAAAATTAAAAACTTAGTCACTATCAATTTATCATATATTTATCATAGTTGGTTTCATTAAAAAAATTTTGATAAATCTAAAAAATCTAAGATAACAAAAAGTTTATGCTAACTATTGAATATATTAAACTAAATTATTACAAAATCACTAGATTATAAAAAACAATTAATAGTTTAAGGTAATTCTTTAAATTGTCTTTATATCTTTAATTAAGTGATTTTTATTCTTCAATATAGGTTAAGTTTTCCAATATCTATATTTTTTATCAAGATTTTCAAGTTAAATTATTGAAATTATTTACCTAATTTGCACATTACTAATTTTATTCTCAAAATACCTTCATAAGCCAATTTAAAAAAAAATTCTATGTACAAATCATGTAACTAATTTTGATAATTTAGCATTGCAATAAATTTAAAAATTATTCTATTATATAAAAAGACAAAATTGAACCAATATCCTTACAAAATATTAATTTCTATGGCTTCATGGCACATGTATATAATCTCCATCAATCATCATATCTTTAATCAAATTACCCAAAAATGAGTACGAAGATCCACCATTCATCAAAGCTCCTCTACTATTTTCACTCATTATTTTCAACTTGTTCAACCGATTGTCATCAAGCTCCATAACCCTTTTTATTCCTCTCTCAATTTCCTTAGCATCCAAAATCATTTCATCGTCAATCAAAAACTCTTTTCTATAATCCATTTTGATTTCCACCGCTAATCCCAACTCAATCACCACTTGAAAAGCATTAAATTGTTGTTCTGCGTACATCGGCCACGTAGCAAGTGGAATACGAAACCATACACTCTCTAGTATAGAATTCCATCCACAATGTGATACGAATCCTCCGACGGATGGATGAGCCAGGACATCTACTTGTGGAGCCCATCCAATCACCTTTCCAATCTTAGCCGTTCGATCTAAGAACCCATCAGGCAAGACTTCTCGTAGGTATAAATGATCAACTGGGAAATCAATCTTATCCTCTGATGGAGGTTTGCGCAGAGACCACAAGAATGGACGTCCACTATTTTCTAGCGCCCATGCAATCTCTCTCACTTGATCCACATCGAAACTTCCCATGCTCCCGAAGCAGAGGAATACTACCGAGGATGGAGTTTGATCATCAAGCCATAACATGATATCTTCCTTGTAATTCTTGCTTCCATCCGACCCCACATCATGGGCTTCACCCTTGAGTTTCAAAATGGGTCCCACTGGATAAACGGTAGGAGTTTCACCATTGGAAAGACACTTGACCGCATGGGATTCCAACTCTTCAAATGTATTGACAATAATACCCTTAGCTTCTCTAAACCTTCTGACATGGTAAAGAACAACAGGAAGCGCGTCCTTGCTAAGCATGACGGAAGGGAAAACCTTAACAGGAAGTGGGTTCACCAGGCTTGGAGTTTCGAACTCAGTATCCATGTCCTTTAACTCTGTGAGATCCACTTCCTGTTTATCATGAAGAGCTTGCATGTGAAACTGGAAACCAAGAAAAGCAGCACTTGATGTGAAGTAGAGATAAGAAGGGACACCAAATTCATTGGCCACATCAATCATTCCTGTGCAGAACATGTCGAGAACAAACCCTGCAAGTCGAGGGGCCTTAGGGTTTAACTCGGACTGAGTTATGAGGTCGGAAACAAATTCTTTGACATGGGGCTTCTGGCTTTCAATCAAGGAAGTGACAAACTTGGAGGGATGGTCATTTGACGTGTTGGTTTGATCACTAGGTAGGTCAATGAATTGGATACGAGTGGATATGGTAGAGGCAGTGAGTGACTCAGTGTACTCGCTGATTTTGGTGTCCAAAGCTAGCCTGATGATGATAACGGTGATGGAAACTCTGTCATCATGGTGTACAAGGAGTTTTGCTAACTCCACCATTGAGACAAGGTGGCCCATGCCTGGGGAAGGGACAAACACCAGCTCTGCTTTCTTCATTTGCTAAAAATTTGGCTACGAGAGGCTTTGATGGTTTGTTATTTGTGAAGAAGATAATCAATTTGTGGTGATCCTTGCCTTGTATGTATGGCGATTCTGTTAATGAAATTTGAGATTGATTGATTGACTTTGCTGGCTCTGGGGTTTAAGGTAGCATTCAAGTATGGACAGAGGAAGGAGACAACTTCTGGGCCCAGAATAGGAAGGATATGGTTTAGAATCACACGTTGAGAAGGTCTTGGTTAGCTTAGCTGGTGACCCTAAGTTACCAAAATTTTCAGCTATTTTAAAGATGATGAATCATAATGTTTCTTGGCAATATGCGGGGTGCTGAAACTTGGAATTGATCATTGAAACGTAAATGGCTAAAAGACAAAAGAAATCAAGAACATTTGTTTCAATGGATTGATTTGGAAACTGTAAATCACATGAGCTATTCAAGTACAATAGATGCATCTCAGAAACGAACTCATTACAAATTGTTATTTTTGCTTCATTTCATGTGGTTCAGCACATCTTCAATTAGGCGACCGATGGAAGAGTGTGAAGATCCACCATCTAGCAAAGCCTTCTTGCTCACTTCACTCATGGCCTTCACCTTCTTTCTTATTTCGCTATCCTGCTCCATAACACTCCTTATTCCTTTCTCTATAATATCACCACTCACAACCATTTCATTCTCAGCCCTAAAATCTTTCCTATAATCCATCTTAATCTCCACTGCTAATCCTAGTTCAATCATCATCTCGAAGGCATTTAGTTGTTGCTCTGAAAACAATGGCCACGCAGCAATTGGAACCCCAAACCATAGGCTCTCTAGTATTGAATTCCACCCACAATGTGATACGAAACCGCCAATAGCTGGATGAGATAAAATGGCCACTTGTGGAGCCCAACCAATAACCTTTCCAATCTCAGCCATCCGATCTAAGAATCCGATGGGCAAGGCTTCCTCTGGACTGGCATAATCACTGGGGAATCCCATCTTACCCTTCGGTGGAGGTTGACGCAGAGACCACAAGAACCTGTACCCACTTTGCTCCAACGCACATGCAATCTCTTTTACTTGTTCCTCCCCAAAGCTTCCCATGCTCCCGAAGCATAGGAAAACCACTGATGATGGAGGTTGACCATCAAGCCATTCCATGATGTCCTTGTTTTTGTTGGTCTCAGCTGAACCCACATCATGGCCATCGCCTTTAAGATTCAAAATAGGACCAATGGGATACAAAGGAGGGGTTTTGCCATCAGAAAAGACGTTGATCACATGGGATTCAAGCTCCAAAAATGTATTTATCATAATACCTTCTGCTTCTTTAAACCTTCTTGCATTGCCGAAGTAAATAGGATGCCAGTCTTTATTAAACACTACAGAAGGCAAAACCTTTGCAGGAACGGGGTTAATGATGCCCGGCAACATGAACTCAGCATCTGAGTCCTTAAACTCGGTAGTGTCCACGTTCTTCTCGTCATTAAGAGCCTGCATATAAAGCATAAGACTGAGAGCAACTGCACTTGATGCGAAGAAAATATATGAAGGAACACCAAATTCGTCTGCCACGTCTATCATTGTTGTACAAAACATGCCAACAACAAATCCAGCAAGTTGAGGCGACTCAGAGCTTGATTCAGACTGAACAAGCTTGGAGACAACATTTTTAACATGGGGTTTCTGGCTCTCAATGAATAAACTAAGGAAGTTGATGCCAGAATTAGTTTGCTCCTCACTAGGAAGGTAAACGAAGCGGATATGATCGGATATCGAGGCAGAGACTGATTTGATATACTCGTTTATCTTGGTGTCTAACGGTGGATGTTTCATGACAAGAACAGTTATGGAGAGTCTGTCATCACGGTTAACCATGAGTTTTGCAATCTCCACTGCTGGTACAAGGTGACCAACACCTGGTGAAGGGACAAAAACCAGCTCCGATTTCTTCATTTATTAGAAATTTTGTTCTGTATTTCTCATCTGTTTTTCCTTTTTTAGCAATGCTGAAGATAACTGATGAAATAGTACACATGCTGGCCAGGATGGTATTAGAAGATAATTAGTTTGTGGCCTTTATTTGAGTGAACTAAATGTGTGACTAGCATAGCTCTTGGTGAAAATTCAGGATAAGTGATTTTCTTGCAACTGGCCTCAACTTTCCTCTCAGATAGCAACATCTGCTAATATGGCTTACGGCCTTCGCTTTTTGTTCTCATACAAGACTATTGGCATTAAATTAATTCTAGCCAGAAGGTCATCAGATTCTAGTATGTTGTATGACAAAGCCATATTTGACTAGGGACAAATACTATAAAGGCCATGTTAATAACAAAAAGTTTTGACTGTTATATGTAAAGGCTTTTACATTGAATCAGCCGATGTCCAAATTTACATCAACAAATACGGCTTGAATCCACACACTTGATAAGAAGCAATAGAGGTATAGGACTAGGAAGTAGAAAGGGTGGAAGTATTATCAAATCCACACTATTCAGATGTGATACTCACTAAGCAATTCTATCTCCTTTGCACATCAGCAACATGAGACTTCATTCTGTTATTTTTAGTTTTGTATCATCTACAAAAGAATTTATGGATGATCAAAGAGTGTGAGTTGTTGTATGAAGAAAATGAAGGCAGACATTTATCGAGAGTAATACATTCCTATTCCTTTTTTTTTTTTTTTTTCCTTTTATGGGACTACCAACATCTTGAAACAGATAAGGAAAAAAGAGGAAAATATGGCATATGGGATGTGTGAAGGCATAACAAGAATGGTAAGTACCTATTGGATCAGGATTAAAGACATCCCTTTTCTGGATGCTCTCTCCTCTTTTCCTTTCATGAAAGACAAAGTGGATGTGTTTTGGAACAAATGGGAGTGCATGACACAAGTCTTCTCCATCACTGTATGTCCACAAAGAAATCCACAATTTGTGCCCTGTAGGTGATGCTGCTTGAGTAACAAGAACAATGCAGAAGGTCTGGTTCTCGGACTGGAAGTACTAAGCCAGGAGCTGTACATGATTTCTTCATGTTCTGCAAATCCAGATGACATGTGCCTCAGTCACAACAAGAGCACTCGTCTGAAGAATATGCATCACAGACTTAAAATATTGATTACATCTCATTCTTTTTTTCAAATGAAAAAGATAAATAAAAGCTAATCAGCATTATACTTGTACATATAAAACTAGAAACAGAAAGAAAAGAGAAATTGAATAATGTATTATTTTCCTTTCTTTCTGTGAACAATTTTATTTCCCACCAACCATATTCATTAGTTTTTCCATTTATATGCCCAAACGGATCTAAATATATGCCCCAATTATGCATCCAAAATTGTTTGGGAGAAAAAAAAAAAGGGTCTAAAGTATCTGCATATAAAAGGACCAATAAGGTTTGTTAACATGCATCGTGGGTAAACTTATAAGGTTTGAACTCTTCACAAACAGAACGATCCAGTATTCAGGTAATTGCATAAAGTTTCCATTTCTCTTCAGTTTAGACGTCCATAACTGCAACAAACTTATCTAACCTGCTTCAGAATTCGAAAAACTTATCTAACCTAATTTGGCTTGTTCCCAGTACCTGAATATGACACCGTAAACCATGTAGAGATGGGCAGCAGCCAGAAAGAATATGCTGTTTTCAAACAGATTATTGAGTGATTCCAGAAATCTAAGCCAGAAATCCAGCATAGTTTCCAAATTATTGTACTGGACAAACATTCCACAGAGAGACCAATCGAAGTGTTATATTATATACTGATCAGTACAAATTCACCCACAATTATAAGCAACAAGCAGCTTCCAGTGGCTAACTGTACAGAGTTTGCCGAAGAGTAATTTGTCAGCCAATATCCATATAACACAAAATAAGTCTAGAATGTTTTCCTCTTCATTCATGGATTGATTCGAGGACTATGATCAACCTTTTTCATCTCCATAGCCAATCCTTCCAACATTTCATATATCTTATCAGCCTTAGGGTGGTCTTGATCTTTTGAAGCAAAACGGGCCACAGAACCTCCGATATCGATCCAACTGGAGCCAACTTTCTTCTGCAAACCCTTTTCCCTCATCTGTTTCCTTACTTTATCAACATTTACCCAGTTTCTTTCATCAGCATATATATTGGAGAGCAAAACATGATAGCCTGCAATGTTGCCTACTTTCTCCATTTCAAGCAACTTCTTTGCAATGACTTCTCCCAATTCAACGTGTCCATGGAGTCTGCAAGCCCCAAGAAGTGATCCCCAAATTTCCAAAACATTGCCAGCTTCACCCAATTGTTTAACAAACTCATAAGCTTCAACCACCCTACCAACTCTCCCTAACATGTCTGCAACGCAACAATGGTGCAGAGTTGAGGGCTGAATCTTAAAATCCTTCTCCATTGACTTAAATATTTGAAGACCTTCATCAACCAACCCTGAATGACTGCAAGCTGACAAGATAGCAACAAAAGTAATGGCATCAGGTTCAATCCCAGATTTCTGCATTGAATGAAACAGGGAGAGAGCTCTCTCGCCCATCCCATGTTGACCATAACCCAATATCATTGTTGTGTAGGTAACAGAGTTCTTCTCTGGTAATTTGGTAAACACACTTTCAGCATAATTGATTGCGCCTGATTTAGAGTACATGTCGATAAGGGAGGTGCTGACGAAGATATTTGTGTCTAACAATAGCCGAATAGAGGCTCCATGGAGCTGCTTTCCCAAATCTATACTTCCCACAGGATTACAAGCTGGGAGAATGGATGCTAAGGTTACAGCATTGGGCATTACATTTTTCTCAAGCATTTGTCTAAAGGTAACAAAAGCTTCTTCTACTAGCCCATGCTGCGTGTACCCAGCGATCATAGCATTCCAGGTGGCTTGATCTCTATTTTCCACATTGCCTCTCTCAAAAATTTGTTGTGAAAGCCTAATCAAGCCGCATTTTGCATACATGTCTATAAGATAACCACCCATTCCTTCAAAGCGTATCCCATGCCTAAGAAGATAAGCATGGGTCTGCTTTCCAATTTCTTGGTTTCTGAGATTAGATGCTGCAGAAAGTAGAGCAGTTACTGTCACAGAATCAATTGCAAACCCTTGATTCTGCATCTCATATACAAGCATCAACCCTTCATCATCCATTCCATTCTGTACAAAAGCAGAAATCATGGTATTCCAAGATACAACATCTCTTTCCACCATCTTCTCGAAAACTTCAAATGACGTGTGGACAGAATTACACCTTGAGTACATGACAATGATCGCATTCAGTATAATCACCGGTAATACCTCTAGATTCTTAATTACAAAAGCATGCAGCTGCTGAGCCAAGTCTAAACATTGCAGCAGTGAGACGGCCGTTAATGCTGAGAGAAAGGTTACATCATCTAGAACAGTCTGTTCTGTTTCGACAGCTTGAACAAAAAGATCGATACCCTCAACCAAACAATTATTCTGTACATATCCACCAATCATAGTATTCCAGATTTCCGTATTCTCCTCCACACGATGGTCAAAAACCTTCCTAGCAAAATCAACACGTCCAAGCTCTGCAAGCATGAATATTGCCGAACTCACAACAAACAAGTCATTCACATATTCACTACCCATTTTAACAAGCATCCCATAAAGAACATCAGCATTCTTGAAACCTCCTACGCTCGAAAAGGCAGGAAAAACATTGACAAAACTAACTGGACTCGGTTTTATACCCGTTTTCATCATCATCCTAAATAGCTTAACTGCTTCTACATGTCTTTCTGTCTTTACATACCAAGAAACCATAGTATTCCAAGCAACAACATCTCTCTTTCTCATCGTATCGAAAACTTTATGCACTAAATCATACTTTGAGTAATCAAAATAACTCAAACAACCCACATTGCTTAAACAACTAGAGTACATATTCAAAAGGGAATTATACACAATTCTACTAGGATTCGATAAACACCGAATAAGATGGCAATGAATGGCTTTACCGATCTTTAAACTGCGCGTTTCCGCGCAAGCTTTGAGTGTAGAAGAGTAAGTATATGAATCAAATTTGGTTCCAAGACTGGAACTTTTTAGCTTAGAATAAAACAAAATGGCTTCAAAAGGCAAGTTATTGCAAATGAAGCCAATTATGACGGAGTTACAAATGACAGTTGTTGGGCGGGGAAGTGTGTCAAACAGTTGGCGTGCGAGATGGAGTTGCCCTTCTTGACAAAGTTTGCTTAAGCGAGAGCGAATTGATGGGGTTTTAAGAGATGGGCTTGGTGGTGGCGAGATTTTAAAGATGGAAGCTTTTTGGGTTTTATTGGATGGCTCATGGGAAGGTGTGGAGAGAGGGATTGGAAGTGATGAGGAAGAAGTGGAGGCCATGGCCATGGATTTTTTGTGTCTGGTTGGGATGGTGTTAGTTTTCTGGTTGGCAGTTGAAGCTCTTTACTTTCGTTGCTTTTTGTCTGGTATAAATTTTAAAGTAATATACTTTGTGAATTTGTTCACTTCAGTACCTTCAAATTGTGACAATTGAGTTTAGATCTTTAAAATCCGGTATATATATATATATATATATATAGGAAAAAAAAACTTAATTTCAAGTCATGACCCTTCATTTTGAGAAGCAAGTTATAAATTAGTCTTTCTATTTTTAAGAAATAAATTGATTAATCTAATTTTTTTAAATTAATTATTTAATTTCTTCATCATTGGTGATTACTTTTAATTTATTTAAAAATATATATAATTTTTTCACCAATTTTTCACTATTTTTTTATTTTTTTAAAACAAAAAATCAAAATAAAAATAAAAATAAAAAATAAAAGATTAAGTTACAAAAAAATAAATAATTATTAATTAATTTTTTTAAAATAAGAGAAATTAATTAATTCATTTCTCAAAACTAGAGATACTAATTTATAATTTACTGTTAATTCGAGCTATAAGTTAAAAACAAAATTAAGCTCCTACATCATTAAGTTTTAAAATATTTTTATATTGCATTTTGATCATTAAAGAAATCATTTATTTTTATAATTTTTCAGTAGCAGTAATTGAAAATGTTTTGAAAAAATGTAATTTTTATTATTTAATCTTGGTTACTTTTCTATTTAGATCCTTGAATATTTAATTTCTTAAATTATTAAAACGCATTTTAACTAAATAATTAGTTATTAAAACTAGAGAAACTATCTAATTTCTTTTGAAAAACTAAAAGAATTAATTTATAACTTACTGATCGAAATAATGATGGAGAATAGTACAAGAAGTAATTAATTAACTCTGATAACTAAATACTTCTTGTGTTTCCTTTGATTAAAAAACTTATTAATTATAATACCATATCACTATTTTTTAACAGTATTTTTTTAAATACTCTTTTTATTTAAGAAAAAAAACAATCTATCTAATTTAATTTTGTATTACAAATTAACAATATTTTAGAAAAAAACAAAGTATTGAAAACTTTAAGCAGACAAGTATTTTGGTGTGTATACATATATATAAAGAAGTTTTTTTGTTTTTGGACAAAAGGAAGTAAGAGAATCTTAAGTTACAAAAAATAATACTATCCAAACATGAGACAACAAGTGAAAAAGTTTCGGGTATTTCTTGTACATCAATTAAGTTCCAACAAAAGCTCTCTGTCCCGATTTTTTACTCTGCCAAATGGTTCAGTTGAAGGCAACAATGACAAAAGTCCATCATAAATTATGCCCAATGGGAACGGCATGCTCTTGATTTTTAACTTCTTCTGATCAATTCGGCAAAGCCGTATAGCTTGTATATGACAAAGATAAACGACATCAGTTTGTCCACATCTTTGCTCACGGATACCATTTCAAGGATGTATTATAATAGAATATAGGAGGGCATATGCAGCCACGAAAAATATCTTTTTTGGAGTTTATTCCTGAATTCATTAATTCTAACCAATGATGATGATTTTGGAAGATGTATGGGTTTCTACGTTAGTTTTGGTCCTTGCACACAGAGGTTCACTGCAACGAAAATGAGTTTTAGCTACGATCAAAAAACTGTCGCTAAATATCTAGATTAGCAACAATTTTTCACACTTTAGCAATGATCTAAAAAATGGTTACAAAAATTAAAATTTGCAACGGTTTTTTAGCAACGGTCCACAAATCCGTTGCTAATGTTATAGGCTAACCATTTTAGCGACGGTTTAAATATTTAAGAAAATCATTACAAATTTAGCAACGTTCTAAACCGTTGCTAAACCGTTGGAAAGTGTTATTTAATATTTTTTCAACTCGTTTTATAAATAAAAAACCCTAAATAAAAAATAACTTTAGCAACGGTCGGAGACCGTCGCTATTCCGTTACCCAAAAAAAAATTAGCAACGGTTTGTATAAACGTTTATACAAACAAGAGTGGATATTTGTAAAGTCTATGAATTCCTCTTATCATACAACACGATATACGGGAGGATATATAGACAAAGAGAGAGAGAGAAGGTGGTGAGAGTTGGTTAGCTATTAGAAGACTAAGGATGTGTTTGATAATCTATTTAAATACCTTAAAAATTTAAGTTGTGGTATTTAATATAAAATTTTATTTGATAATTTAAATAATCTCATATTTAAAATTTAAATTCAGTCAAAATCTACTTAATTAGGTAAGTTAAAATTTTTTATTTATTACTTTTTTGATTAACACGCTCGATTGTAAAAGTTTTAAAACTTTTTAAATATGAATATATAGCCCTCATATATTCTTACAACTTTAGCTATACAAACCAATAAAAAAACAATCTCTGCTATTTATATTGTCAAAGCGTAAGAGACCTTCTCCATCATTAGTGCTTCCATCCCATTATCGTCAACAAGCTATTAGGAATCCGAGACGCTAAAGTCTACTCCCATTGCGAGTGATTTTCCTTCTATTCCACTACGGGTGATTTTCCTTCATGCCTATTGATATCTTGATCATTTTTTTTTTTTGGACATTTTTTTAAGAGAAAGACTTATTCTTTTTGTAGATTAAGTTGTTTTGAAAATTAAGCTATTTTAATTTTTGAGTTTTGATTAAAGGTTAAATCTTTGCTACTTACTGTTGTTGTTGGTGTTGTTTGTTTGTTTGTTTTTTAATATGATTTTTGGTTGAGAGAGATTAGGACCAAGTATTATGTTGGTGGAGAGCTCTTTTAGCGTTATTTCATGGCCATAAGGAGGCCTTTATTGATCTCATCACCAAGAACACCAAATAGTACTCAAGATTTGCTTAGTTTACTTGTTTTATCCAATAGTGTTGTAAAAGTCAATCTTGATAATCCTAGATTGTCTTTTGGGATGGCATCCCAAAACCCAATTGAAAGTTCATCAAGTAATGAACTTTTATATAAATATGCATTAATAACCACAAGCAGAGAGAAAAGAGAGAGGAAGACGAACAAGCAAAAGAAACCATGCTTTCATTTTTGAAGGTCCTATAAGAGGTTTCCGGAGGTGCTATTACTTATCTTGCTTTACGCATTTAAATTTATCGTCGATTCATCACAAGTCCCACTCCTTTATTTTACTCATGCCTAGGATAGATTTTATTAGGAGATTCGTTAGCCACTAAGTCTACGAAGGAACTATTTGATTCCATACGAAAGGTGCTTAGGTGATTTTATGTGCTTCTTTCTACAAGTGTTTTGTTGTGCTATGTTATGCCATTAAACTCCAAGGTTCAAGGAATACGTTTAGGTTAAGGAGTTTAAGCTTGTGTGTTTTTGTGTAAACCTTTGGATTGAAAACTCGAATATTTTAAGCGCTCTAGTAAAGGCGTGACAACGGTCGTTTGGATTAGGCCATGAATAGAATAAAAGGATTAGACTCACTTTCAATTATTTTATGAGATTTGTGTAGAGAATTGCCATTTCAATTTGTTTATAGAGGAGCGACCATGTAAGCATGGGTTTAGCTCGGATAGATGCATCTTATTTCGCTAGTCTAAGAACATTACGTACTAGAATCAAAAGAAATCTTCCTTTACCGTGTCAAAGCAAGTAGCATCAATTAAGCATAACATCCAATATGATTTTAATTAAAAAATTATGAATAAAGGAACTCTTTAGCTGGATCTTTTAGAAAAATGCAAGAAGAATAAAAGAAAGGTTAAAATTATCATGTATATAGCTTTAATATGTTTAGTAACAATACTTAAAATACATTATTATATTCAACACTTATTTTTTTAGTAAATATTAAATAATTTGACAATAACATATTCGGTACTTAATTATTTAGCACTTAAAATTCGATATTTAACGGATTCAACACATAATTTTTAGTTTTATCAAACACCACCTAACACTATATTCACTAGGAAACTAAACTAAAGAATAGGACAAAAGGATACGGATACATTGATGAATCTAGCGTATGAATTCTTATCTTTATCACCTTCCTACAAGTTGTGAAAGAGGTGAAAAATATGCAACTTGACTCTCAATTATTGAAACCGATTTCCGCATAATGGTTTAGTAAGAATGTCGGTAATCTAATTAGTAAAAGGCAAATAACACACATTTGTAATGCATTTTGTTTGACCTTATATTGAACGAAATGAAAGTCTATTTCCGGATGTTTAAATCGAGAGTGAAAAATAGGTGTGGTAGTTAGATATTTAGGCGATACATTATCATACTAAATTTTAGAAGTTGTGTTACCGTGTATATTGATTTCCCTCACAAGGGAATCTCTATCCATTCAACTTCACCAAAAGTTATTACCAAAGCATGATATTCGACCTTAGCGGAGGAGCGGGGAATAGTGTACTACTTTCGAGACTACCAAGAGATTAGATTTTTACCTAGATAGATTGCATAGCTAGAGGTGCTCTTTCAATCATCAATATTACCATCCCAATTTGAATATGTGTAAGCATTGATAGAAAAATCGGGAGATTTACGAATGTATAGGCCATGATCAAGTATTGCTTGAAGATGGCAATGAAATTTTTCAAGGTAGCCTAACGTTTTTCTATTGCTTGCATGCATATATTAAGCTATCTTATTGACAAAGTGAGAAAGGTCCGGCTCGATTATGCCAAGGTATTGGAGAGAACCCATCAAGCTATGATAAAAAAAGGATCAAAAAATGAGACACCTATAGCGACTCACAATCTTGTGTTTGGACGGACTGGTGTATTAGTACCATTAGCTTTTTATAATAAATCACAAGCATATTTTGTTGATGGAGGAAAAGACTAGTTCGATCCCAAGATGTCTCTATCCCTAAAAATAATTAAGTTGCCCAAGGTCCTTTAATAAGAAGCTAGATTGAAAAGCAACGAATGAGAGAAGAAATCATAGGTCCATTGCTTCTCGTGATAACCGGATCGTCCATATAAATCAAGTAGAATATGATCTCCTTGT